TCATTATATAAAGTAGCATCAGTTGCCAGGTAATGTTGGTTGTTCATTTCTTTACAGGCAATAGTTTGGTTACATTTAGCACAAAGGTGGTTATGTATAGTAGGTGAAAAAGATACTGTAGGTGATGACGGGACAAATTCAGTAAAATTTGCAATTGTGTTTGCTAGGGTTTTTTGATCTTTAAGTTTTTTAATAGCATTTATTATTTCATATTGTTTGTAGGTTTGGTTAGTTGTTGAGATGAAGTGTGTATGGTATTTGTCACAAAAGCATGTGACAACAGAGCTAGATTCAGATGTTTTGAAGTAATGATTGCATTTGGTGCTTTCTCTAAGTTTAGTAATATTACAGTTTTTAGATTATTTATTAGCAGGAATAGGACATGATGAAGTTGGTGTATCCTCATGGATACCAATTCTGATGCTCTTAGAGCACTTCTGGTAAAAGTAGTCAAGGTCAATGATATCAGGTGCAGTTGTTACAGAGGTTGGCATCTTGGTCTAAAAATAGATTATTAAATATGTTTTTTAGAAAAATTTAATTCGTTTAAGGGTTTCTAGGAAAGTTTGGAAAAGAGTTTAGGTTACAGATAAGCTGATTGGATGTTTAAAAAATTCTAATGGGTCCTAGAAAAATGAAATTTCTGGAGCAACCCAGTAAGTTTTCCTAAAATTGCTAATGAAAAAATCTGCAAAAAGCAAGTTTTTGTTTTCGCTTTTTGCTTGTATTTCAATGAGTTTTAGTTCAGTTTTAATAAATTATATATCAAAATGTTCGTCTCAGTGAGCTGAACAACTTCTAAATAGGTAAGAAGATAGATTTAATTAATACAATAATGTGTAAATAGACAAAAACCATAAACTTGGTTTTTGGAACATTTCTCAGCAGCCAAGTTTTTTTGGGAGATAAAATACAGTCGCCCAAAAGGAAAAAAGTATGCTGAACAACTTTACTTAAAAGGTCAAGTAAGGTTTATTTAGTAGAATGTTGAGAAATAATCAAATATTTTTTTGTAGTTTTGGTATAAGTGATCTACGGAGAGAGTTGCTTGAATTGTCACCATCTTGTATATTAAAATTACTAAGAATAATAAGATAAATATAAAGTTGAGAGTCTTGTTGAATCCAGTCAATAACAGTATTTTGAGTTTAATTGCAAGTAGAAATGTTAGTTGATGGCAAATATACTGAGATAATATGAAGCTTGATGTTATTTCAGAAGAAAATATTAAGTTCTATAGTACCTTCAGAGTAGATATGAATACTGTGAATATGAGACTTCAAATGATTGCAAATCATGATAACAGTGCCTTCAATAGAAGTAAAAGAGTTGGATCAATAATAGGTGAAGAAGTTATTATTATAAAAAAAAAGATTAGTTTTGTAAGAGAGTTTGGTTTCTGTAATGCTTACAATAGATATGTCATAGTTAAGACAATAGTCTTGCTAGGCTTCTCTTTTGGTAGGTTCATTGAAGCCTCTAACATTATATATAGCAATGTTAAGATAGAGATAGTGTAATGTTAAATTAGATAAAGGTAAAGGAGAATTATAATTAGAAGAGGTTAAAGAATAATTGTTGAAAAATAGGTCAGATATAATAGGAATAGAATTAAAAGAGTTAGATCTAAGAGGTAGATTGTAAAATAGAAGAAGAAGATGTAGAATATAATAATGTGATTTGGTAAAAGTGTATTATTAGAAAGATATATGTGTGTTTTATTATAAGATGAATTAATAGAAAATGTAATACTAGATACAGTTTTGTTATTGTTATATTTGTCAATATGTTGAATTAGAGTTTGAATAGTTTGATCATGATGAAGAAGTGGTAAATTGTAGTAATTAAGACATTTTTTAAAACATGTATGAAGATCATAGGAAATTAAAGATATTGTAAATGATCTTTCAAAATTGTCTTCTACAGAGTTGATTACTGTATACTCAGCTCTTACAGCTGTACAAGGTACCATAGTCTGCTCTATACATTGGGTCTGACCATCATTATCCTGGCCTTTCATATAAATAAACTTATCTACTTATCTATTTGTTTCATTCTCCTTATTAACTACACTAGTTGTATCTTTTAATAAGGTGGTAGCTGCTTTATTGTTGGTTGTAAAAGACAAAGAACTTAAAAAGGAGACTGTAAAAAAAGAGAGTCAAGAATAGAGACTGATTGAAAGTCAAGATTAAATTTTTTTGATAAGAATTTTTTAGCTGCTGAATAAGTAGTATCATTAAAATATTTGACAATTTGTATATAAGTTGGTTTTTGGTTTTTAATAATATCAAAGTATATAATGATTTCAGCAAAAAATTTGGTGTCAATAATGTTTTTTGTTAAAAGATTAATAGTCTCTTTCTTGAACAGAGACTATATATTATAATTTTCAGAAGTGATTTGGTAATATAGGGAGAGGTAATAATAAAAATAATAATTGCAATGTTTGGGATTAGTTTTGACTTTGTTTTGTTCACAAACAAAGTTTTCAGCTTGGTCAGCTAGTTTGTTCAAGGCTTTGGTGAGAATGGATTGATCAAATAAGGCAGCATGTTCCTTGTTTTTCTAAAATAATATGGCATTGAGAGTTAGATGGATCTATGTTTCATCATTCTGAGGTGGAAATCATGAGCAAAATTTGGTTAAGATGTGATTGAAGAGTTTGGCACTATCATAAAAATTTTTGTTATCAAGGTATTAATATTCTTTGTTATCATAACTAAGACAATAGAGATTAGCAACATGAGATGCTTCTTTGTGTTGCTCATAGAGTAAGTTAGGTTTTTGAAAGGTATAGGTTTTAGGAAGGTGTTTAGAAAGTTGAAAAATAAAATGTTGTTGAAATTGAATTCTGAGAGAGGTACAAACTTTTTTTTTGTTAATATTAAAAGAGATTTGTTTGCTGTAAGAAGGATAATAAGTTTCAAACTAAAAATTGAAGTGATCAAGAGAGTTTTTTAATAAAGGAATACAAAATCATTCCAAAAAAAGAATTTGGGAATATTAAAAAAGAGTTTAATATTAAATCTTATATCAGATTGAATTGTAAGGTATTTTTGATTAAGATCTGTAGTTTGAGTGAATGATTCAATTTTAAATCTTTTAAGTCTAAGTTGTAAATCCTTAGCAAATTTTTGGTAGTCAATTGATTGATAGTTGTTGGATAAGAAAAGATATAAGTGAGCAAGATTAAAACAGAGTTGAAAATAATTATAGGCTATATATAGAGAAATAGTAATAGGTGAAACAAAAATTTTGAGATAATTGAGTTTAGTAAAGAGAATAATTGTGAATTTAAAGATAAGATTTTTTAGAGTAGATTCAAGAAGGTTGAAAGGAATAGTAGCATTTTTGTCAATATTAGGATTATTGTTGTAAATAAGATCAATTAAAAACTCAAGTTGTTGTTTAGCCATAATACAGATAATATAATAGAATGATTTTTTAAGTGCAGGTTGAGTAGCAGTAGCTGGCTTAATTTTCTTGTCAGGATAAAAATCATAGAGAAATTTTTTAAAAAAGATGAAGAGTTGAAAAGAAAATAAGGTTTGCAGCTTTTTGTTAGATTGCATTTCTTCAGTAATAGTAAATTTGCAATCCAATCATATGTAGGATTAGATTTGGGTTTAAGAATACTAGAATATGATTAAGAGAAAGATTTGTTAGGAGTATTTTCAGATTGGTTTATGTTACTGGTCTTGTTAAGATTTAGATTAGAAGTATCAAGAGTGTTAGTAGTAAAAGGTTGGTTAAAGATAAGATTAGTATTAGTAGTTGTAGTAAAGAAAGAATTGATAAGGTCAGAAGAAGTTGAGGTTTGATGAGAAGATGCAGTAAGAGGATTTGTAGTTTGAGAGAATTTATGTAAAATGTTTTGAAAAGTTTGAGTAAGATTTTTCTTGGTTTTGGATAAACTAGCTTCATGTTAAGATGAGGCAGTCATACAAGTAAGATGATAAACTTCATTATTTTTAGAAATATATTTTTTAGTAGGATAATAACACTCATTTCTTTTGATGCAACCAATTGGAAAGGAGCATTTAGGATAAGTATGATAGTGTACATCAGATGTAGAAGAGAGAGGAACACTGTCGATAGAGAAAAAGAGGGTAGTCATAAGTTCTTGAGTCATTTATTAATTTTTTTGGAGTTGTTATTAATATGAATAGTTGTAAATTTAGTAGCTTGAATATAGTTGGTATTTGAGATTGAGATAAATTTGGTATGGTATTTGCCACAGAGACAAGTAATTACAGAAGTCAAGATAACGGCTTTAAAGAAATGAGTAATCTTATTTGATCTAAGGTTTTTTGTTAAACAGGTGATAGATTGAACTTTAGAAGGAATTGAATGAGTCTTGTTATTATTGTCTTCATAGAGAGCAATTCCAAAACTATTGAAAAAGTTTTGGTAAAAGTAATCAAGGTCTGCTATATCAGGTTCTTGTTGACTTAAGATAGGCATTGTTGAATAGTAATAAGTTAAGTTAGATTTAGACTTTGATATATTTTCTAAAATAGAGAATATAGTTGTAAATAATTAATTTTACAAGGGTTATAAATAAGCACAAGGGTTGTAGTTTAGGAATGTCACTGGGATGATATAAAAGTGTAGCAAAGATGGGTAGAGTCAACAATATAACTTGGGTACTGAACACAAGTAGTGTCATAGAACAAGGATCACTTTAAATATGTACTATATAACAGAAAACAGAGCACAGTATAAGAAGCTTGGGCAAGATACAAGAAAGTATTTGTATTGATTAGACTTGAGCTAAGTATACATTTTATTTTTTTTTTTATATCTTTTCTTATTTACTAATTACTAATCACTATTGCATTCTTACTTAGGTATTATGAAACTATGATTACATTATTCATGCACACTTTATTACTATTTTAACTACACTATGATTATATTATTAATGCACAGCTTTATTACTACTTCTAATTGTGCTATGACTACATTATTAATGTGAGGCTTTATTACTTCATTACTTATGCACACAGAGTCTTGGGTTTGTGACAGATCTGAGTTTCAAGCTTGGATTGCAGTCTTGGTTCAGGCTCGAGTTCTGGGCTTGGGTCATAAGCTTGAGTTGGGCTTAAGTCACAGGCTTGGGTTGGGACTAGATCATAGGCTTGGGTTGGGCTTGGGTTGGGCTTAAGTCAGACTTAGGTTACAGGCTTGAGTTAAGCTTAAGTTATAGGCTCGAGTCAGGCTTGCGTCATGGGCTTGGCTGGCTTTGGCATATAACTGTGATATTATCCTCCCCTTAATGCTTCATTTCCTCTTCCTCCTTTGCTTTAGATTTGTTGAAGTTAACTTTGGCCCAGGCTTGTGTAGGTACATCTGGTAGAAGTTTTTTACTGTCTCTTCAGCATGTATGACATTATCTACAAGCTTCTACAAATTTTTGTTTGGGTCATAACCTTTCCATTCAACTAGGTAATGTAGTTTCTTCTGGATTAGCTTCGAGTCAAGAATTTTCTTCACTTCGTATTCAATTTCACCATCTATTATTACTAAAGGAGATGGTTTCTTGCATCTACCAGGGATGTCATTTGTCTCATATAATTCTAGGAGAGACATATGGAACACATTGTGGATCTTGAGAGAGGGAGGCAAGTCCAAGAGTATGCTACTGGATTTATTTGAGAAGATCTTATATGGCTCTATCTTTTGGTAATTTAATTTACCTAATGGGCATTGTGTATGTATATTTCTTCTTATTAACCAAACTTGATTACCAATCTTTAACATAGGTGGTTTCTGACATCACTGATCAGCATATTGTTCATTGCATCTTTGTGTGGCCCTCAATTCTTGTGTAAGTTCTTTCCTTATTTATTATAGTTGAGCTGCCTTCCCTTCAGTAAATGGTACAGTTGGATGAAAGGGTGCTTGAACATTGAACCATAGATTGAATCTGTAATTAGCAAAAAATAGGGTTGTTCTTGTTGATGAATGTATAGAGTTATTGTATGAGAATTCTGCTATTGGTAAAAGGTGAGCCTAATCATCTTGTTGGTAATTTATAGTGCACCTTAGATATTGTTTCAAGATTTGATTAACCTTTTCGCTCTGTCTATTTGACTGTGAGTGGTATGCTGATGATAGATTAATTTTTGTCTCTAGGAGTTTTAAAAGTATTTCCAAAACCAGAAGGTGAATTGTGGACCTCTATTTGACACAATTTCTTCAGGTATCCCATATAGACAGATTACTTCCTGAATTATTAACTGGGTGGTTTGTTCAGTAGTAATATTCTTATGACAGGCGATAAAATATGCCATTTTTGTCAAATGGTCCACTATTACTAGAATAGAGTCAAAACCTAAAGATGTAAATAGGTTGGTTATATAATCCATAGATATGGATTGCCACTAGTACAACAGAATAGGCAGGGGCATCAACAACCTATATGGGTGGTGTTTTGGTGTTTTGGTGTCTTTAATCTGGCATATGTGTTACATGTTCTGATATATTTTTAAACAAAAAATTAAAGGTTGGGCTACCAGTAGTCTCTGGTTACTAATTCGATCATTTTAGCTATTCTGAAATGCCCAACTAGTTTAGAGTCATGTCAAGCCTGCATTATCTCGAGCTTTTTCACCATGCAAAATACATATAATAACTCTTTTCTATAGAGTAACCCATCTTTGTACAAAAATTTATAGTAGTCAGAATAAGAGCTGTTGTCAGTTGTGTTGGTAGTGTTTAGGTAGCTTATAACATTTAAGGTGAATGGATCTGCCTTCAACTGGGATTTGATATGTTGTAGGAAGGTGTGGTCTAATGGTGCTATTGAGACAGCATTTAGGTGAATTCTTTCTTGTTTTAATAGTACTGTTTGGTGGAAATTAGGGTTGTATTGAGGAGTTTTATAGTCAAGTCTGCAAGACAATGCATCTGATTTGCCTTGGTCCTTTTCTGGGCAGAACAGGATCTCAAACTTGTAGTTGGATAATTATTATAACCATCATGACTGATGGTGATTGAGAGGTAAAGTATTGCAAGTTTTTATGGTTACAATATATGATGACCTTCTTCTAGGTAATGATACTATTGTTTAAAGGCAGTTACAATGGCCAGAAGCTCCTTGTCATGAACATCATAGTTTATTTCTGCAAGTGAGAACTTGTAAGAGTAATACGCAACTAAATGCAGGACCATTCTCTTGCAGCTAGAACAGTATAGCTCCCAATGCATAGTTTGACATGTCAATTTTTAGAATGAATTGCTTTCTAAAATCCTCATTTACCAGAATCGTGGCTGATGCAAAAGCTTTCTTTAATCTCTTAAATGTTCTTTGTGCTTCTTCACTCTATTTGAAGCCTTTACTTGATTTTCAGATTAGGTTTGTAAAGGGTGTGGCTTCTTGAGAATAGTTTTTTATAAAGTGATAGTAATAATTAGCAAACCCCAAAAACTGCTATATTTCTCTAAGTATTGTAGATATGGGCCAAGAGAGTAAGCTATTAACTTTTTTTTTGTTTATTTCTATTCCATGGACCTAATAGTGTATCCCAAGAACTTGACACAATCTCTATCAAACTCACACTTCTTCAGTTTTGCATACAGGCCAAAATGACGAAACCACTTCAGGACTAGTTTTACATATTGGGTATATTCTTCAAGTATTGCTGAGTATATTAGAACATCATCCAGATATACAATAATGAATCTGTCTAACCATTCTCTAAACACATCATTCATCAGATGTTGAAAGACTGCTAGGATATTTGTAAGCTCAAAAGGCATTTTCAAGTACTTGAAAAGGCCATAATGAGTATGAAATACAGTTTTCTATTCATCATCTGGCTTGATTCTAACTAGATTGTAGGCATCTCTTAGGTCTATTTTAGTAAAGATTTGGGCTGAAGATAAATGATGTAGTAGCTCTGAAATAAGAGGAAGTAGGTAACGATTTTTCATAATAATTTGGTTTAACCTGTGATAGTCTACACATAGCCTTAGAGACCTATTCTTTTTCTTAACAAATAATATAAGAGCCCCTATATGAGACCTAGAATGCCTGATATATCCTTTGTCTAGATTTTCTTCTATATACTTCTTTAGCATCTTCAACTCTAATTTTGATAATTCGTATATAGGTCTCCATGAGGGGCTGTTTTTCAGGTGCTAGGTCTATCGCACAGTCATAAGGCCTGTGCTCTGGTAACCTATTTGCCTCTTTTTTATCAAATACATCATTGAAGTTATTATATTTTATTGGAAATGTCAGTGTAGCTGTTTTCACCTTTCCGTTTACAAGGGCTACATAAAAAATATGAGCCCAAAAGACTTTCTTTGATGTACTGATGTTGGTTGCTAAGTGTGTCATGAATAAATTCCAACAGTGTGCACTACATCCCTCATCTAGAAATTGCAGAGTTTGTTCATGCCAATTAATATTAGGGTTGTGAAGGACTAGTCATGATAACCCCAGAATAGCCTGGTAGTGTGGCATTTGGATCAGATTGAATGTAATTTCTTCACAATGGTTCTAATAGCATAGCAGCAATGGCTTGGTCTTATATAAGACTGCTTCAGATGATATTTTCCAATCATCAATCACTTCTACTGATAGTAGAGTATTCATCTTTTTAACAGGTAGGTTGTATTCATATACTAGTATATAGTCAAGAAAGCAAGCAGAAGCACCTAAGTCTATTAATGCATTAATGAACAGCAGGGATTTGTTTAGAAGTTGTACTGATGCAGGTATGACAAAAGTATCCATTAAAGTATAGGGGTTAGTTTTTTCGAGGCTTAACTTACAAGTACCATCCAACTGCCCACCCTTACTGCAACTAGGGCTCCTCTTTTCTCAACCTTTCTGGCATTGCTTCTGTAGTGACAATTCTATGATTGGCAACACCTTTTCTTAAACAACTTCTGGCTATATAGCCAGGTTTGCCACAGTATAGGCAAAGGTTATTGGCCCTTCATCTTTGCTTTTCTTTCTCAGTCAGGGTTCTCAACCTGATTGAGTCAATTTGCATTGGGTCTAGGGGTAAGCTAGTCTTACTATAACTATTTACTAAATTACTCTAATTTGATGTATAGCTTTGTCATTCCTGCATCACTCAAACAACCTATTATTACAATGTACTGCCTTGGATATTGCATTATTCAGTGAAGTGGAATCTTTTATGATAAGTAATAGGTCTTTTACATTACTTCTTAGCCTGATTCAGAATTGATCAATTAATGCTGCTTCACCCCAGTCCAGGTCACTAAAGATTTGCTAAACTCTAAAGTGTAGCTTGAAGCTAAATTGGATTCTTGGATAAGTTTTTTGATTCTATTGGCTGCTGTTCTAACCTTTTCTGAGTTCCCAAAGGTAGCTTTGAACTCTCCAACAAAATTATTAAAATCATTCAATAGCAACAATTCTTTTTCAAGAAGTGGGGCAAACCATGCCAATGCTGAGCCTACAAGTAAACTGCCAAGCAATTCAATCTGAGTCCTATCATTAGGGTATTGGCTGGGTTGTAAACAGATAATAAGCTGTATTTGGTTTAGGAAACCTCTAAACTTAGAGCAAGTCTTATCAAACTTATCTAGTAGGCTAACTTTTGACTCTCTTGGGTGGTTGAGAGTTCTTTCTTGCAACTGAAATTGGTTGAGTTCATTGCAAAAGTTCATATTTTTTTGTCTCACAAGTTGGTTTTCTTGTTGGATTTGCTATAATACAAGAAGGATACTATTAAGATCTGGTTGTTTATCCATATTTATGTGTATATTATTATTTTTTGTATGTTTTACTGTTTATAATCTACAATGAGTCTACAGGTTGTGTAGTCTGATCAAACTGTCATAGAACAAAGATCACTTTGAACAAGTACTATATAATGGAAGATGGAGCACAGTATAAAAAGCTTGTGCAAGACACAAGAAAATATTTGTATTGATCAGACTAGAGCTAAGTATACATTTCATTTTCTTTTTTATATCTTTTCTTATTTACTAATTACTAATTACTATTGCATTTTTACTTAGATATTATGAAACTATAACTATATTATTCATGCATACTTTATTACTATTTTAACTACACTATTATTATATTATTAATGCACAGCTTTATTACTACTTCCAATTGTGCTATAACTACATTATTAATGCAAGGCTTTATTACTTCATTACTTATGCACATAGAGTCTTGGATTTGTGATAGATTTGAGTCTTAGGCTTGAATTGTGGTCTTGGGTTGGGCTCGAGTTACAAACTTGGGTTACAGGCTTGAGTTGAGCTCAGGTCACAGGTTTGGGTTGAAACTAGGTCACAGGCTTGGGTCAGGCTTGAGTCAGACTTAGGTTATAGGCTTGAGTTAAGCTTAAGTCATAGGCTCGAGTCGGGCTTGCATTATGGGCTCATGTAGCTTTGGTGTATAACTATAACAAGTAGAATTTGCAATACAAATTACTGTGTAATATTAATAAGAACTAAATATGAGAATATTAATTGTATAAATGAGTTTTTATTAATAGATTAGTTACAAAATAGTGGTATAAATCAATAAGGTATGAATTAAGAAGTGATAATATAGTTATACAAAAACATGTAAAGAAAAAAAGAAATAGAATAAGAACAAAAGGTAAAAAAGAAGTTTTACAAAAGAGTAAATGTTGAATTTAGTTGTAGTTTGGTCAATATTAGGTCAAAAATCTTTATTTAGAGCTTGTTTTGGCCAGATAAGTGTATACTACAACTTTAATTAAGAGTATAAAACAGGTTAAGGCTCTAAAAACTGTGAGATAGTTAAAAGTTATTAACTGAAGACCAAAGGTCATCAGTACAATTTTCTCGATGAGTTTAAAATATAAAGACTTAATATTTGCAGACTATATGTAAAATAATGAACTTAACAAGTTTATTTAGAAGCCCAAGATAGGTTTCCTTAGTAAAATAAATAGTTATAAGTATTTTTTGATGGATGAATTTTTTAGTTAATTTTTGTGTAATGGATTTGCAGAAAGAGTTTTATCATTAGTTAATTAAATTTTAAAAAATATATTTTTTAAAAATTAAAGAAGTTTTTATTAAATAAAGGTTTCTTGAGCTTTTAATAAAAGTTATAAAGCTTGTTTTTCTGATTTTAATAATAATTAAATTATTAAAATCAGCTTAGTAAATTTTAAGATATTGGGAATCAAAGAAGAGAACAAAAGATCTACAAATTGCCAGTTATACAAAGTATTATTATTAATAGAACTTTGTATAACTGATAATTTGTAGATCTTTTTACTCTCTTTTTTGATCCCCAATATCTTGGGATCTACTAGACCGATTTTAATAATTTAATTATTATTAGAATCAGAAAAACAAGCTTTACAACTTTAATTAGAAATTCAAGAAATCTTAACTTATTAGATTTTAGAGTTAGGATTAATAAAAAAAATTTATATTAAAGTTTAGAGGGTTTATATATATTATTGTTATAAAACTAAAAATAGAAAATCTTATGTAACCATGATTGAAATAGTAAAAAACTATTGTAGAAATAGTAGACCTCTAATAATATAAGATATAATAATTAATATTGTATAATCTTAGTTATATTAATATAAAAAGTTATAAAAATTTATAACAATAAAGATAGTTATAAATTAAATTTTCACAACTATTAGGTTTTTTTTTTTTATTATATAATATCAAGTAAAAAAAATAGTAATACATAATATATCAATTGAATATGAATGTATAAATAAAATATTTCTAAACTATACTATTGTTGCTATATATTAACATTATCTAGCATGATATTAATCTTTGGTTTTCTGTTTTAGTTAAGACAACTATTGTATTATTAACTATAGAAGAGGATAAAAGAAACTCTTAGAATTGTTTTAGTTAATAAAAACAAGTATATATAGTAAAATTTTAGAAAAGAGTTTTAAGAATAAATTGATTTATATTAGTGTTAAATATAAATGTATTGTTATTTAAGTTAGGAGTTTGTATAATAGGTAATTAAGTCTTGTTTTTTTTTTTAGTAGAGGCAGTAATTTCTTATATTGATTTTCATTCATGTTGTTTGATGTTTCAAGTTTGTCAAATAGTAAAGTTAAACCAGTTAAGTAAAGAATTAGATAAGGAAATAAGAAAGTTATTAGTTAGTTTTTTTAAAGTTAATTAAAGCTATTTATATTGGTTGAGGGTTATTGTACTCTAAATAAGTAGAAGTATTGTATTATATATATTAGAATTTGAAAAAGTGTTTTAAAAATTTAAGATTTGTATTATTGTATGTAGTGAAGCTTCTAAGAAGCTTAAAAAGTTTAAGATATTGGTAATTTCATTGATAAGTATATTATGTAGATTGAAAGAATGAAGTAAGTATTGAAGTAAATGTTCAGTATTTTCATAATAATTACAATATAAGCAATTTGAGATTAAGTATAGTAGGGGATAAAAAATATTTAATTTGACATTATTGGTAAATTATTTAGAAATATTTTGTTTCTAATAGAGTAGAGTTTTGAATTAGAATTTTAAAAGTTAATAATTTCAGTAAATAGTAAGATATTAATAATAGAAAGGTTTTATAATGATGTAAATTAAGAAAATTTGTTAAATATTTGGATAGAAAAGAGGTTTTTGCAGAATTTATGAAGTTTGTATGTAATTAATATTTCCTTCTAAATAAAAAAGATAGGTAAATAGAAATAGTCAAGGTTAAATTTTAGTTCAATTTTTTTAGCACCATGTTTAGCTAAGATGTCGACTATGTTATATAGAGTGTTGTTTGAATATGCTTTAACTTTGTATATAGCGTAGTTAATGTTTTTGATTTTGGTTAGATAATTTATAATATAAATAATATCCTAAATGTTTTGTTTAGTTTGAAAGTTATATTAATAGGATATTAAGTTTATAAGAGTTTTTATTGTAGATAAATTATCAAAATGAATATAAATTTGATAGTTCATAAGTAAGATAAGAAACAAAGAAATAAGTGCTACTAGTTTTGATTATATAAAGTTTGGTGTATAAGTTATAGAGACATTAAATTTGATCTTGTATCATTTTTTAGAATCTAGACAGTGCTGATAAAATGTTATATGTTTGTAAATTAAATATAAAGTCATCTGTATAAAAATGTAAGTTAGCTGAGATAATAGATACTAATTTTTTATAGAGGCTTGTGAATTGGTTTTGGTATGTAGAATTAGATATTGTGTTTTGTATTAGTAAGATTTCTGGAAGGGGTAATAAAAAAAATGATAAAAATTTTGAAGCAGGCTTATATAGGTCTGTATAAATATTTTGTAAAGCTTAAATTTCTTAAACATTTATATTGAGTTCAAAGTATTGTTTTCTTTTTTGTATTTTGCATTTTAGATTAATAGTTTGTTTATAATTTATTTAAAACATTGTAGATATAGAAGAAATATAAATTGTGTTAATTGTTGAGTTAATAATTTAGTATTTTTGAAAAAGTATTTGGAAGTTAAATGTATTAGTTATTTTGCCAATATGCCAATCTGATAATAAGAAGTAGAATGACTATATGTTTTTCAAAACTATAAAATAATATATAATAAGATTTAATGTATTTAAAAATAGATTAATAGATTGGAGTTGAAGGTTGGGCCATATGTGTAATATAAGATGATAGGAAATTTGATTTGAGAGTATTTTAAACTATTTTGGAATAAGACCTCATAGAGATTTAAGAGTTCTAAAATATATGTTTTTTCAAAAAAATAGATTACAGTTGTCAGCTATAAGTAGTTGTTCCAAAAAAAAAATTTTATTGTTTTTAAAACTTAGAATTATTAAGTTGTTAGAAGATGTAATAAAGTTATAGATATTGTTCATTTTGTTGATTTGTTTGTAAGTTGTTAGTTAATTTAAATGAGTATTATTTATAGAAATATTATTTTTGTATAGATGATAGAGTTGAGATATTATAGTAAAGTTAGTAAATTTTTTATAATTTTTTAAAATTGTATTCTGAATTAGTGAGAGTACTATTAGTTTTTTAATTACTGTTTATTACTAATATTAAAAATAAATTTGCTATTTCAATAAGATTTAAGTCTAATAACTTATATATATAAAAACAAGTATATTTATATTTTGTATACTTTACAAGATAGAACTAAGAATTAAATTAAACAAAATAATAAATAATACTAATTAGACTAATATAGTCTAAAAAATATTTAAAATCAAAGATTTTTGTATTGTGACTGAATAACAGAAGTTTAGTATAAGATCTTGAAGCTTATAATTCTGATATATACTAAAACCTTACAAATACCAAATTTCAAAATGCTAAAATCTTGACAAATACAAAATTCTAAAAATTCAAAATCTCTACTACTAATTCTAATATTTTTGTATTTAAAATTTATTATTAGGATTCTATATTGTTAAAATTTTGAACAGTTGAAATTTTGTATTTTTAGAATTTTAGTATTTCAGGATTTTGTTATTAGAATTATGTACCTTTATAATTATAAGCATTAAGATTTTGCATAATTTCTAAATAACAGAATTAACTATATTGATAAAAAATACTTTATTTAACTAGATAACAAAATCAATTTTTAAGAACAATTTAAAATTTAAAAAACCTTATTCAAGATTATTTTAATAATCTAATAAATAAAAGTAAATAATAAAATACTAAAATTCTTTTTTTTATATAATATTCTATTTCTAAAATTATTTTATAACAATACTAAACAAAAAGCTATTCTATATTATTAGAGTATTATTTCTTAAACTGTTTTTCAGTAAAATTTGTCTGAAAATTTTATGATTAATCTGTAATTAAGCTATTAAATTATATTGAATTATAGTTTAAATAATAGTAAATATTTAATTAAATTAACAGTTTAAGAGATAATATTTTAATACAATAGCATTATGATATCTTGGCATTACAGTTATAATACTATTGCAATACAGTTTAAAAAAATTATAACAAATAATATAACACATGTCATATTAATTTGCCAAATGAATTCTACTATCAACTATAACTATATGTTTTATACATACTAAAACATCTGTAATCTGTGACAGGTTAAGCTACTGATTTCAATTATTACCTTAATTATAATAAAAAACTATTGTATTTAGCAATTTGAAAAACTTATTATTAGTTGAATATATAAAACAATTTGATTGTATTTGGTTATTCTTTATTTTTTTTGCTATTTTATAAATTAATTTTTTTTTTATCTAACATGAGTAAGTGCGCAAATTAAAAGTTTAAATAACTTATCAACTTCTATTGTAAAAAAACCAAATTTTGAATAAAGTGCAGGTTATACAAATTTTAATATATATATTTTTTTAAAAAACTATAAAATAGAATTAAAAAAAATAAATAAGCATGATAATTTTAGCATCATTTCATTTTTAGTTATTAATTTAAACTGCCAAAATATTAGGTTAACATTACAAATTGTGTTAGATAAATTCAAAGATCAGTGTGTTGTAACAAAATAAAATTACCTGAATATTTGCTTTATGATTTTAGTTTCAACTGTTAATCATAAATGTTTTAAAAATATGAGTTCATGAATAAATAGTATGGAAGAAAGAAGAATTAAGTTCTTTGAGTTATCTTCATTCAAAAAAGGTAGAATTAAGTAAAAAAAATTTCTTTTAAAGAAGAATGTGTTGAACAATAGCATGGTTAAAGAACTGACATATTGTTTGCTTTGCTTAAAGTAATTAATTTTAAAAAGTTTTTATTTTTTATTTAAATATTTGTTAGTTAATATTAAAAGCAACTTTTGAATTTATAAGTTATTTTTTTTAATAGTTTATGACAGTCAAGTCTTATTCTGGAAATATAATCAGATGGGATTTAAATTAGTGGCTTAATCTGTCACAGATTACGAATGTGCGCATAACTAGACATGTGATGTATGGTGGCAAATTTTTAGGCTCATATATAATGTAAAGACACTTCGCTCACCATAAAACAATGACTCTGTTCTTGGTATAAGCAAAAACTTGCAGTTGTTATATTCTATCAAATCCAATTTAAGCACGTTAACGTTAGTATTTTTTTTATATAGAAATCACATGATAGTCAAAACCGGTAAGATCAGGAATAAACAATTAGAAAACAAGACATGGCTTTAAACTGAAATGCATACATATACACTTCCTTTTTTAGCATTGTTCGGGTGCTACATGAAATCACAAGGACTAATTATCCAATCAGATCCAAGATTATGTACAGAGCATTTAACTCTGAGGATAACCATACTCTACATTGTACATTGTACGAATTCCGTTCCTGGTATAAGGGCTTATATTAAAGAAAATATTCACAATAGATAGTCATATAGTATCCTCCGAAAGTTTGTAACCTTTTAAATTCAGATTGAACATTTAGATAAATTAGTAACAATTCAATAATAATGTGCTAAATTTTATGATTTCTGTGTAATAGTAACAGATTTTTAGAGGTTACACATTCAACCGTTTTGGTCCGAGTTGTAAATTTTGAACCGATTGAACCGTTCTGACATGGGTGATCCGGTTATGAACTTTTCTCTGCTTCTTTTGAAATTATACACTAAATGCTTCCTGGATATTCAGTCGTTATTAGGTACAATTGGATATATTATTCTGGTGTACCTTCTACTGGTGTTTCTCTTATTCCTCTAAGGATCTTATATATTACTTCATCCTTTCTTTTTATAAATTGGAAAAGTGGGTAACCACCTGAAATTTTCCATAAAAGAACTTCAAAACGGTAAATATCGGATTTCTTATCACGCACATATGTGTGATCAGAGGATCAATATAAACGAGTTCATTAAACAGCGTATTTGTAGAAATCGAATTATTTGTCTGTTTTGATATTCCAAAATCAGCTAGCATAACTATTCCATTATGAATTAAGATATCCTTAAAAGAAAAATCAAATTAGTTTATTGTCATAAATTTATTGTAAAAATTAATTAATAGCATAACACTTGCAAGATCTCTATGAATAATTGTTTTTTATTTTCATGCAAATATATAAGATCACAATAAAGTTAAAGACATTCAATATTAAAAAAAAAAGCAAATATATAAGACCTTGTACAAATTCTGTTGCCATGCGTAGCCTATCATTCCAAGTGAGCATTAAATAATTGTTTATTAGATAATTTTGTAAGTTGCCATTATTTGCGTATTATTGCATATTGTAATATTAAGATATAATTATTATGATCTTTTGTGAACCCGCTGAATTGATTAATACTGAGAAATATATAATGAATAGAATAAATAATAATTATAATTACTGTACAATACTTGACATTTTCTTTAAATGAAACTCGTTTATTATCTCTAGAATAATTATTTGATATTTCTGTTACATTATTTATGGAAATTAAATTCTCTGTTAAAGGCGACATTGCTTGTTGATTATGTTTAGTAATGTTATTTATAATGAATTCAACAGTTGTTTCTGTTGATAGTGTTCTCATTTAAATCTTTTGATATTCCAAAGTCTGCAATTAAGATCTTGCCATCATTTATTAGAATATTTTTAGAATGCTAAATTTAGAATAAATAATTAAAACTTAAATGATTTTTAAAATTTTAATTTTAATACAAATTAAAGTTTACTACTCACTAGGTCTTGGATAATGTTCTTGAAGTGCAGGTATATTAATCCAAGGGTAATCTTAATAAGTTCAGCCCATGAAATTTTATAAAGACCATTACATTATTTTCTTTGTAAATAATTCTTAAAATTCATTAGCATATAACACCCATTTGTGTATCTAAATCCATTAAAAACACTTAAATTGTTAGGCATCATTTGTATTTACCACGAGATTCTATATTTTAATTTTAATTTTTTTTGTTTTTTAATCATACCTCTTAAAATTCTATAAAATTTTAACAATATTACGGTCATCAATCTCATAAAGAAGTTTAAACTGTATAATATAATTGTTATTAGTTAATATGCAGTATGTTGTAAAGAATCCAGACATTGGATAGTAAATAAAAAACAAATCACCTAACGTCTTGACTTCTTAAACGAATTATAATTCATAAACGGGTTACTATTTAAATTTTTCAATGCATATTTCTTTCTTTGTAGGGTTGCTTTATACACTATCGCAGTTCCTCCTCTTTCATTAAATTTGTCTAAATATGTTTCTAGTTGTTCTGAATATTCAAGCATTAAAAAAACTTGCATTAATTTATAATTTGAAATACCACTTGTGATCAATGTAATAGCTTACATGTTTTATTCAAATAATGCACTATGTTATTAGATTTGCTAGCAATATTTGAATACAACTATAGGTTCCAAAAATTTTATTGATGCCAATTTTTAACAATCCACCGACATGGTACATTGTATTTTAAAGGACTATTTTTCGACATATATTTATCAGTGTTAATTATTATACTATAAACAATACGTAAACGGAACACTTCTAATTAATGTTACTTATCATAAACATAACGCATTTCAATATTAATATTTATTTACAGACAGCATTTAAGAATTAGTTGACGACCTAGGTGTGTTGTATGTTGGGAGAAACATCAACACATTACCTCTATCATCAACACTTTCATTTTCACTTTCATTTTCACTTTCCTCCTTCCCACCACTACTCTCATCATTCCCATCGCTACTTTCATGAATTGTATTTTGACATAAGCTTTTACATTCCTTCTCAATGGACTTTATAAGCTCTAGATTCTTTTCAATAAGAATACTAAACGTGTATAATGCACGAATTAATTCAACCAATTCATTTGTTGAATTACTCTTATATGGAATTTTGACATTCTTTAATTTCCTTAACCGAGAAAATGGCACAATGTTTCTATCAACGATGAATAAATCCAAAGAGGTCCCTAAATTTATAATAAATATTAATTTTTAGTTTTGATTAAAGTAATAAACAAAAAAATACATAAAGAAAAATTATTAACCATGCGCATGTAATAAGAAAACTTTAAGATTTTTCAAATTTTCTGTGTTACACTTTTGAGATCTCATATATTTTTTTATCATATGGTCCAAAGCATCTTTGCCACATTTAGATAACTTCGATTTGTCATCTTTAATATGTTTTTGGGCTTTAGATGTTTGATTAAAAGGACCATTGGAAACTTCTCCTAATAAAAGCTCGAGATTAAAGAGATCTTCACTTTCATAAATGCCAAAAATATCGTTCATTTTAATGGGACCTTTTGAATCATTCCTTTCCAAAGTTGCTTTACTTGGGACCGAATCCCTAAATAAGACCAAATTTAATTTAAACTTATAATCAGTAAATTTAATGTATCCACGCCACAATGTAATGAGCGATTATTTGATATTTGATAATCACAAAAAGCACAAAAAGAATTAAGCGGTAAATCGCAGTTAAAAGGTATAAATTTCATAGTAAAAATCGGAATGTCGAAAGTTTCTGGCATTATGTAAAAATAATATAGTTATGAAGAAGATAGCTTACGATCTGCCAACCCAATTTGAATAATTCTACCACTATTAGAATCGAAATAACTTGTTCTATAATATTTGTTAGAAACTCAAGAAAGGTTACTTAGCATAAAAAAGCTTTTCATTGTAAGCTAGCTGCATTCCAACCCTATAGAAAACCATATTAACTTCCGGTAATTTTTATTATTAAATTTGCTATTTTTATACCCTTTAACCGCGATTTACCCCTTAATCAAATTTAACTTACCATCTAACACAGATTTCTGATTCTTTGAAATCTACTAAAAAATTTACTATTGGTTGCAAAACGTAGTGAGACCATGTTGATTCATTATATTTATCAGAATGCGATTGCAACATAGGTGTCCGCCATAATTTTTTGCTTTAGTAAAATTAAAAATAATGCAGTTACAGTTAGTATATGCAAATGATCACAAGTATAATGTGATAAAAAAAAACTCAGATAGATTTATAAAACTTACATTGCATCTATTAAACATCGAGTTCTGCGATATAAATCTTTATTGTAAGCTGGTAATACAGCATCACCGGTTTTCACATGTTCATTAATGAATTCTTTTAATCCATCAGGTAATAGTTTGATTTTTATGGTTTCTTTAACGTCAGACCATAAGTTTCTCATTATTAGTGCTTCTTTGATTGGCGAATTCTTAGCATCTAAAGATTCTATATCCAAGATGCCTGATAATAATAAGTCATTATTGCGTAACCCTACTTTTCCAAATGCATTGCTGATCGTTTTCACGGTTTCATTTACTTCTTTCATCGAACTTAACTAATTATAATCAAATAAACGATATATTAATAATAATTATAAATTTTCTGATTTTTTTTTTTAAAAAAAAATTTAATTACGTTTAATATCCTTGCTTTTGCTTCGATTAAGTCTAAAGGTTCATATAACGAAT